GCCACAGGGCCCGGCGGCGCGCAATAGACCCCTCCCCTTCCCCCCTTCCCTTGCCCGCCCCCCCCCCCTCCCCCCAACAGTATCCAAAACAGTATACTTATTATTGAGGGAACGGCCACAGGGGATCCCTGCACTGTCTGCCAATTCCCTTTCCCCTTCCTGACAGTCACCCAGCTACCTTTTACCTCCTATAACCACCTCCCTATAACTCTTCTCTATCACCCCCTCAGCCTCCCGAATGATCCGGAGTTCATCCAGCTCCAGCTCCAGTTCCCTTACGCGGTTTTTGAAGAGCTGGAGTTGGGTGCAGTTCTTGCAGGTGAAATCAGAGGGGACACCAGCAGTGACCCTTACCTCTCACATCCTGCAAGAGGAGGATGCAACTGCCCTAGCTTCCATTCCCTCTACTCTCTAGATTTCCAGAAGAATTTAAAAAAAGCCTTACCTTACCGACCCTCCACACAGTCTTTTTGTTTGGTTAGAGGAGGAGGATGGGTGGGAGACATTACACGTGTCGTGTTTTGGGTTTAGCCAATGCCCGAATATATCAGTTCCTTCCTGGCTTGCGTTCTCTCCACACACCCGCCGCTGAAAACAAGAGGGCCTCTGCTGCACGAGGTAAGTTTTTATACCGGAGAAAAAAACCTTACCTTCCCGTCGGCACTCTGGCTCGCGCTGCTGCCGCTGAATACAATCTAACGTATAGTGATTCCATACGAGAAGATTAGAAGTTGCAGTGCATTGTAAATGTAACATGAAAGACTTTGCTGATTATTGGAAAGTAAGAAATGAATAATAGGTGGGTTGATATAAAGGAAAGAGAATGGAAAAGAGAATCCCAATTTGTGGCATCAGGATGAGTTACTACATCTTGGAGCAATTTGAGAGGAAATTAGCTGATGATGATAAACATGACTTTGATGGACAGTCACAAGATGTGTTTAGAAAGGGTCCACGTTAGATCCAGTATTTTTTTCAAATGCCAGTTAGATAATGTCATTGATTACCAGTTAATGATGACTGACAGTTAACTGCCAAGTTCATTTGTCAAAGCAAATGTTAAATGCCATGACAAATAACTATAAACCTGAATTGTTTAAAATTTAAACAAGTTAGGCAGTTATTTAGTTTGAATTTAAACAAAAACCGAAAAAAACTGCGGATGTTGTAAATCAGGAACAAAAACAGAAGTTGCTGGAAAAGCATCTATGAAGAAAAATAGGGTTAACATTTTGGGTCCGATGACCCTTCCTTAGATGGTCACTGGACCCAAAATGTTAACCCTATTTTTCTTCATAGATGCTTTTCCAGCAACTTCTGTTTTTGTTCCAAATTGAAACGAACTGAGACTGAAACAAATGATCCAAATGATGCAAGACCTGAACAATATCCTGACATTGAGCTGACAATTGGCAAGATTTTCATCACACAGTTGTCAAACAATGACCATTTCCAAAACACAGAATCTAACCATTGCCCCTTGACAATCAATGATATTACCATTGCTGAATGCTCCACAAATCAATATCATTTGGGTTATCATTGGCCAGAGACTGAACTAGGTGTATAAATACTGTGGTTACAAGACAGGTCATGGGCTAGGAATCCTGAGTAAGTAACTCACCTCTTAACTCCCCAAATCATGTCCACCATCTACAAGGCTCAGGTCTTGGAGATATATAATGACCCTAATACTATTTTTACAAACCTTGGTGAATTGACTACATATCCGGTCTTCATTTGCCTGCTGACTGTTTGGGGGCCTATACTCCTAACAGTATGACCACCTCCTTTTTATTCCTCGGTTCTACCCATAAAACTTCATTTGATGACCCTGCCCAAGATGTCACCCTCCTTACTGCACTAACTGACTCCCTAACTAATAATACAACACCAATCCCAGTTTTGCATCTTTTCCTTTTCTGCCTGAAGATCCAATATCTGGTATGTTAAATTGCCAGTCTTATCCATCCCTCAACCGTGTCTCTGTGGTGGCAACAACATCGCAGTTCTATGTGTCAATCCATGCCCTTAACTCATCTGCTTTACCTCTGACAATCCTGGCAGTGAACCAGAGGCAATCCAGCTTCACCTTACTCCCTTCTCCCTTGAGACACCACATGGCTGAACTCGCTCTACCTTGGTTCCTTTTTTAAGTCAAGTTGCTACTGAACTATTGCACCGTGACCCCTGCCTCTGCTGAACTAGTTTAAACTCTTCCCAACAGCACTTATAAACCCTCCCACAAAGATTTTGGTTCCATTCTGGTTCAGGTGCAGACTTTCATGTTTGTTGAGGTTTCTGCCTTTCTTGCCTTTCTCCTCTAATTCTTGATTACAGCTCCTTATGGGCTAGGAGGTCCGGTGACCCTTCCTCATTACTGGAGTAAAGATGTCTTGCTGCAGTTAAATAGAGCCTTAATTAGATCTCATTTGGAATATTGTGTATAGCTCTGATCTCGTTTATTAAGAAATGATAGATATTTTTGGTTAACTTGCTAATACACCACCACTGTACCGTAAGTCCTTTGCTATGAGATGATATACTTAATGTAGATGGAATGCAATGGGTTCACCAGATTAACCACTCGGAGCAATAGTTCATGATGAACAATTAAAGAAATTAGGTCTGTTTTCTGTAGAGTTTTGAACAATGAGAGATGATCTCGTTGAAACTTAAAACATTCTTATTGTGCCTGATGAGGTGAATTTAGGTAGGAAGATTTCCATGGATAATAACTTTAGAATCAAGAACATAGTCTCAAGATAAGAGGTGGGCCACTTAAGACTGAGATGAGATGGTAAATCTTTGGAATTCTGTACCAAAAACGGTGTGGAAGCGCAATCTCTGAGCATACAGCAATCAGTTGACAGTAATCAATATATTTCTGGAGACTAATGACATGAGCTTCTGAGGAAGGGTCACCGGACCCGAAATGTTAACTCTGTTTTTTCCTTCACAGATGCTGCCAAACTGGCTGAGCTTTTCCAGCAACTTTGTTTTTGTTCAATGACATGAACAGATTTGGAGATATTGCATGACATAACACAGCGTGGAGCTAGAGGAACACAGCAAGCCGGGCAGCATCAGACGAGCAGGATCAGACGAGCAGGAAAGTTGACGTTTCGGGTCGAGACCCTTCAGAAATGGGGGAGGGGAAAGAGAGAAATAAATAGAGGAAGGGTGGGGCTGGGAAGGTAGGTGGGCTGGTGATACGTGAGTGCAGGTAGGGAGAAACGGATAGGTGGGAGAGAAGATGGACAGGTTGTGTCAGATCAAGGAGACGGGGATGGGAGGGAAGATTGGTTATGGGATGAGGAGATTTTGAAACTGGTAAAATCCACATTTAGGCCATTGGGCTATAAGCTCCTGAGGCGGAATATGAGATGCTGCTCCTCCGGTTTCTGGGTGGCGTCATTGTGACACTGGAGGAGGCCCAGGATGGACATGCCACCTAGGGTGTAGGAGAGGGAAGCTGAAATGGTTCGCAACCGGAAGGTGTTGTTGTTTGTCGTGAACAGAGTGCAGATGTTCTACAAAGTGGTCTCCGAGACTCTGCTTGGTCTCACCGATGTAGAGGTGGCCATGTTGGGAGCAGTGGATGCAATAGACCAAATTGATGGATGTGCAGGTGAACCTCTGTCTGATGTGAAAGGTTTGTTTGGTGCCTTGAATGGAGGTGAGGGGGGAGGCGTAGGGGCAGGTGTAGCACTTCCTGTGGTTGCAGGGAAAGTTGCCGGGTGTGGTGGGGCTAGTGGGGACTGTGGAGCGGATGAGGGAGTCGTGGAGAGAGCGGTCCCTACAAAAAGCAGATAGGGGTGGGAAGGGAAATATATCTTTGGTTGTGGGGTCAGATTGTAGGTGGCGGAAGTGGCTGAGAATGATACATTGGATACGGAGGTTAGTGAGGTGACATGTGAGGATAGGAGGATTCTGTCTTTGTTTTTGTTGGGGGGAGGGGCTGTGAGGGCAGTGGTGCGGGAAACACAAGAAATGCAGTCGAGAGCATTTTTGACCACCGAAGAGGGCGGGGGGGAGTTGTGGTCCTTGAAATAAGAGGACATCTGGGATGTTTGGGAGTGGAATGCTTCATCTTGGGAGCAGACATGGTGAAGGCGGAGGAATTGGGAGTAGGGGATCGCATTCTTGCAGGAAGGTGGGTGAAAGCAGGTATACTCTCGGTCGCCATGGGAGTCAGTGGGCTTAAAATAGATGTCAGTTTCGAGGCGGTCACCAGAAATGGAGACAGTGAGGTCCAGGGAGGAGAGAGAGGTATCTGAGATGCTCCAGGTGAACTTGAAGTTGGGGGTGAAAGGTGTTAGTACAGTTGATGAACTGTTCAAGCTCTTGGTAGGAGCACGAGGTAGCGCCAATACAGTCATCGATGTAGCGGTGGAAGAGGTGGGGGATAGTGCCAGTGTAGCAGCAGAAGAGGGACTGTTCCACATATCCTACCAAGAGGCAGGCATAGCTTGGGCCCATGTGGGTTCCCTTGGCAACCCCCAATCCCCACCACTGCCTACCTGCACTCCACTATCAACATCCCACCTACCTTGCCCAGCCCCACCCTTCCTCTATTTATTTCTGAACTCCCTTCCCTCTCCCCCATTTCTGAAGAAGGGTCCCGATCCGAAACGTCAATTTTCCTGCTCCTCTGATGCAGCCTGGCCTGCTGTGTTCCACCAGCTCCATACTCAGACTCCAGCATCGGCAGTTCTTACCATCTCTGAGTGGAGATGTTGCAAGGTTGTGATCTAGAATGATAAGGCTGGCTCGATGGGCTGCATGGTCCACTGTCCTACTGAAATATCTCCAACCCAACACAAGATTTTGCATGCGCCACTCCCTGTCATGACGTTTTCTCTTGCCTTCGCTTTCTGTCTCCCCTTGTTCTTCATGCACGAGATCTGCTCGTGCTGTTTCAATGCGTCTGGTTGTTTCTGTTTCTCGTGCACGTGCCGTTTTCGGTTACGCGCAGTCCCACATCTCGCGTACACATCGTCTTCTCTCTTCCCCTCCTCCACGCCCTTCCCAGAATGCGCTTCCAGACCCGCGGGAAACCAAAATGGCGCCTGTGTGAACGGAGTTGTAAGTGGGATTGAGTGAAGAGGCAGTGCAGTGGTTTCGAATACAGGGAGGGGGTCAGCCGTCCTGAAATCCGTATGTTTAGAGTAAAACAAAGGGCGATTTTGGAACAGCGTCCGAATGAGGTGAATGCTATTTTTAAATACGGCTTTCTTTCGTGATTTGTCATTTTTAAAAGTAGCGCTCGCATCCTGAGAGCGAGGCCTTTTGGCTGCCGTTTCTCTGGGAAAGCATCGCCGTGGAATCGTTTGTGGAATTCCGAAACTCTGGCTCTGTTTAATAACCTTCCCGCCCTGTTTCGATGCAATGAACATCAGCTGATTTTGGAGGCATAGTTGTCCTTTACTTTGTTTACATTGACCGACTTCCTTTGTTTGAAACGAGGTCTAACAGGTTGCAGGGGCTTCGTTTTCTGCTCATGCAGTCGAGGGGAGGGAAGACGAGGAAGCCATAGGGAGTTTACCATCTCGAAGCTTCTCTTTATCGTAGAAATCGCGGTAGGTTTCCACTTAAAGAAGCCACACTATTTGTATTTTGAAGTTCATCGAATTGAATTCTCAAAATGTAAATATTTTGTTTAGCCCGTGAATTTTGAGTAAATGCTACGAAATGCAACAATAACCTCTCATTGGGCATGCAAGCTAACTAATAACGTTTAGTTCAATTTGTGATATTCGGGAAGAATCACTAAATTAAATATAGTCATTAACTTCAATATGGGGAACTGCACTTTTGGGATAGTGCATTGTAAGGCGCTAAAGTTGATTTTGTTTTGTTTCTGCCACATTGTGCCGTATGCTCTCTCAAAATTGTAAGACATTCAATTAATAAAATATTTATTGATCTGGTGCCAATATTTTGAGCAAATCGCTTTTTAATTAAGCTTTTGTTTATTTAATTCATGTTGCTCATAAAAGGGTAATGAAACCCATGTAGTCCTTTGTTAAATGAGAGCTGTCGGGATTATGCAAACTGTATTCGTGATCCATTATTACCTGGCTTTCAGCAATGCGGAAAAAAACCTATTTGGGTTGATATAGTCCATTTATCTTAATGCAAAATTCCTCCATCTAGGTTTTGATAATTTGATACTAACTACAAAATTGTCATTTTTCTTAATACCACTTTGAAGACATTGGCTTTATCACAAGAACTAATAATTGGTTTTGGTCAAATTTGAATTTAAGCTTCAAGATTGGTAAAATAAAGCAATGCCAGAAATTATTATTCCTGAAATTGCCAACCAGAAGACACATGATTTTGAGAACACAGATACCGAGGTGTAGAGCTGGATGAACACAGCGGGCCAGGCAGCATGAGGCGACTGGTTGGCAATTTCAGGAATAATAAT